TTGTTTGTACAAAAATGTATGGAAAAACATTTTGACATGGCATAAAGAGAAATGAAGACCTACCCCTTGGTTCTTCTTGAGACACTCTTACATTCAGCTACTGAAAGAGTGGTGAAAAGCAATTAGAGGACACTACTAAGAAAATCTAGGAAGACATTTGAATTTAATAAATGTCTAAAAAATCTAAACTATAATATATTTCAAGATGTTTTATCCAAAAAGAATAAGTTATTTATCCAGGGTATATCAATGCTTTTTTAAAAGGGCTGAAGCAATTCAGTGGAAGTAACTGTCATAATGACAACTTTCTATACCACCCAAAAGTACCATACAGGGGCCTCCCCTGGTGGCACAGCGGTTGAGCGCTGGGCTGCGAAGCTGTCCGCAGCCTCTGCAGCGCCGGTTCGATCCCCGGCCACCAGGAGAGGGTCCCACATGGCACCTCTCCTGCCATGCCCGCTGCTCCCCTCAGCAGTGTACTTCCTTAGTCTGCCTGTTCTGCTCCCTGCTCTGGCTCTGGTGAATTCTCTCACGCTCCTGCACTTCTGACTGTACCCAGTGCTTGTATAAATAAATAAATAAATATTTTTTTAAAAAAAAAGTACAATATAGACTAGTTTTTTTGGTGTTTAATTACATTTCAATACTTTAAAGTTTAGCTGCATGTCTTTGAAATTCATGCCACTTTGATAATAACCAGAAAAAAAGTCATTACTAAAAGAATCAATATCCCAATGAAGGTAGATAAGCATCTGCATTTTATAAAGCACAGGTGAAAAATTCTATTTTCAAAAGTACTGATTTGTAAGATTTATCATTTAGGGACCTTCTTCTTATCAGGTTAATAAATTTATTAATCAGGCATTTAAGTATTTTTAAAAACTGAATGCTTTAAATTTATATATGTAGTTCACTTAATGAAATTTTAACCAAAGGGATCCCTGAAATAGAACTGATCTACTTTTGCACCAAAAAATTAGATATAAAAACAGAAAAGTCATATTTATAAAACTGAAGTCAAAGACTTAGGTAAAACTAAATTGTTTAATAGCAATCATTATGTAAGTAATTACAGGGTTTTTTTCCCTACTCACAAAAACATCTTGAGGTATTGAAAGACAGTGTTCTAAGAATTAGAAAATAGTAAATAGCAACTTTTTTCCACTGAGTAAATTTTACACTTGTCTTCTCTGCAAATCTACTAACCACCAAAGGGTCATTTCTTCCAGTCTAGTTACATCTCACTCCTCACTCACGATAATACATGGGAAGGTAAACAGGTTAACAGGACAAGTGATCAACTTAGCAAATCTAGTAACTAATCCAGGATGTGTCACTTCCTAGCTGGGTAATATTGGATAATTTATTCTACTTCTCTAAGCCACTACTGCTTGAGGTGTGATAATCCCCACTTCTTAAAACAGTACAGGCAAAGTCTTTATTTTTGTGGCTGATGCTGCTCTTACTTCTTAGCACTGTATCTCTGTTTATTCAGAGATGATTTCTGATTGTATGCATATCTGCTTTGTGTTCATTCAAATAATGTCACCGACAATAAGAAGAGGCAATGTTTTTTATAATGCTTATTTGGGGCCAGTTATTTTGCTAGGCATTTTTATATGTATATTAATTCATCTACTGGCTACAAGAACCCCAGAAGATAAATCCCTAATTTTGTTTTACGGAAGAAACAATTGTGCCCAAGATGTTCAGTAACAATTAGCACTTAGAAGAGCTGGATTCTCCAGACCATCCTTTTAACCACTTCAACATAACTGCCTTTCTTTTCAAATAAGTTAATACGTTAGTTGGTACTTCCCTATGATATGTACCAGGGACTCAAAACTGATGAAGAGAGAGTTGTTCTTGAGTAGTTCATGGTATAGCAAGAAAGACCAACAGCTACACATAATTAAGTTAAAAAGTCAATGAAGGCACCTCTTGAATCAACTTTCTCTTTTTCCACTGCACGCTTCAAGTATCATGCCAAGTCCACCATCTACTGGGCTTGCATTAAAACATGATTGTTTTTGTTGATGGGGAATCTAAGGAGAGAAATTTCTGTGCCACAGACGGCATTACCACAGACCAGTACAGGTAATGGTGAGACTCAGCATCACCATAACACATACATTCTGGCACTGACTCTGACCAGTAGACTAGCCCTCCAGGATGTCCGCCAATTGTGGGAACCCCAAGACAAAGCTGGCATGATCTAGTACATTGAGCCTATGACAGAGGAGTTGATGAAAGAAAGCAATTCCTAAGAACACCATCATCAGCACAAAAAAATATTTTTCTTTTTTAACACGGGACTTCTTAAATTGATCTGGAGGTCTACTTACCTGAGGAAATGTTAATTTCCACTATCTTAAAAAAAATCTGACTCACACCCCAGCAGTTGATTGTAGCTATAGTAAGGCTGATGCCAACAGGAAGATTTTGGACTACGTCCATGGGTGATGGGAATCCAATCCACCGCTGGGTTTCTCAGACACAAAAGTATCAAATGTGTAAGAAACACATTATCATGTACCCACTTTCTCCCCCATGCTTTGATGCTGTTCTATGTTCTTCAGTGGAAGAGTCATCCTTAGCCTCATTGTTAACTTCACGAGAAAATTCTTACTTAAAGTATCAGGAGCCTTTATTTGGTTCACTCAGAAGTAATCCAGCTTCTGGCTGGTTCAACAATGTGTGAGCGAGGGAAACAGCTGTTGTTACACGAGCCTCACTGAGACATCTGCTCTTTATCTGCTTCTAGCTATCTAGCACAGATTATGATGTATATAAAAACCATTCTTTAGTTTTTGCTTTTAATATCCACATTGTGCATGAGATCATTCTTGTACAAGTAGCAGCTTCATTCATGTTACACATGTAGCGGCCTCATTTTGCCTACTAGCTTAGACCCACAAAGTTTCCCAAATGTTTTGATGATCTGTTGCTGCATGACAATATACCCCAAATTGAGTGACTCAGAGCAAAAATCATCTAACAATCTTTCATTGTTCTGTGCATTCACTTGGCTTAATGTGGTAATTTTTCTGTTGGCATCTCTGGCATCAGGTATTAGGGCAGCATAACTGGAAAAGCTCAACTGTGGGGCTAGACACTAGGATGATGAGTCTTTCTCCTAGTCCATAGTCCAGTCCTCTTTGCAAAATGTTTTTTTGCCTTACAGAAAGGTCCATTGTTCCCTATTGTACAAAAGTGAAGCTTCTAAGCCTACAGACTCGTGACAGACTGGGTTAGCGTCACTCCACTATTAGTCCACCCTCAGTGGGTAGGAAGAATGATTTCTGATGAGGAGTGTGATAAAGACTTGATGGTCGTTATCCTTCTGGCAGCAACTCACGTACATTCCTCAAATATACATACAAGGCCACCAAAGTTCTCGTCTGGTTACAGAATATAAGTCCAAGATCAATGTAAGTTAGAATATAATTCCAAGATCAATTCATCTAAGTCAGATTCAGATGTCAATGAGAGTCTTTGTGTACTGATCCCCTGTCAGTCTCAAAATTGGCAAACTAAAGACAAAGGATCTCTCCCACTCCTCATATACCAAACCTACAATGGTGACAACTGGTCTGTGGAGCTGCACTTTACATTTGAAAAGGAACAGGTAAATGGCGTGCACATGATAGTAACTGGTCCAGAAATTCTGAAATACCACTGAATAAATGTTATCAGTTCTCTTCTCAGGACCCACTGCCAACTTCCTATGATAGTTCTCACTGGTCTTCAATGCCACACTCTAGGATCGTGGTTCAGTCCTCTCCGTCAGTTTTCATTTAATAAGCAATAGCCCATGTTTACAATAGGACAGATTTTTGTGACTGCACCTGCTTGTAGGAATTTGGGGTCCCAAAAGTCTATTTTTGTCCTTCAGTCCAAACAGTTATAATTCCTTCAAAATATACTATCGGTTTCCCATATATCAAATTATACTGTTCTCTATCAGACAAATGTCAAAACCAAAAAATCCCTTCAATATTTCAAATCTTTCTCTTTCCTGGGCTGATAGTAAAGGTGTTATGTGGAAATACATTTCATGTTCTTAGAAAACTAATTTTCTACCACAGAGATTTAAAAGGCATGTCAGCACCTCCCCAGTGGCACAGTAGGTTGAGCACAGCGCTGTGAAGCTGTCCACAGCTTCAGCAGGGTGGGTTCGATTCCCGGCCAGCCAGAGAGATACCCACATGGCGAGGAAGACCTCTCCTGTCTCGCCCACTGCTATCCTCAGCAGTGTATTTCGGTCAGTCTGCCTGTTCCGATCCTTGCTCTGTCTCCGGTGAATCCTCTCAACCTCCCTTGCCTCTGGCCTGTACCCCAGATCTTGTATAAATAAAATAAATCTTTAAAATAAAATAAGAGGCACATCACTAGGATTCTTTCTGTCTCACTCAAGATTCAGTAAGCTATGACCCAGGGACCAAATCCAATCCACAGTTTGTGTTAGGCCTGCAAACTAAGAATAGTTTTTACACTTTTAAAGTATCGTTAAAATAAAAACAATACACTGAAAACTACTGAATATTGCTGAAAGAAATTAAAAAGTACTAAGTAATAGAATGAGTTCTTGTGTTCATGGATCAGAGGACTTAATATCATTGGGGTGGTAAAACTACCCAAAGGGATCCACAGATTCAATTTAGTCCCTATCAATATCCCAACACACTTTTTGATTTGAAATGCAAAAGTTGATTCTAAAATTCATATGGAATTATAAGGGATCTCAAATAAATAGGGTCCTCCAGAGTAAAAGAACCAGTATATGTTTATCCCCACAGTGATCAAAAAAAGTGTGTCAATGGCATAAGGACAAACATAGAGTTCAATGACATATGACTGAAAGTCCAGAAAAAACCCTACACCTGTGGTCAATTGATTTTTAACAATCAAGTATGTTGTAAATATTTGTTGAAGTCTTACCCACAAATCACGAGATACTGATAATGTTTTACTAGTAGCACCATAGTTGTTATGCTTACCTTGAGAGTCTATGCTTTCTTCTTGTAGAGTCTTTTGCTGGTTGGAGAAAATTTTTCAAGAAAATCTTTATTTCTAAATCTAAGAAGTAAATGTCTTAGAAATGTTTCATCTAGATTTTGTTTGAAGACTGAAAGTTTTTATTTTGTTCCTATTTCTTTCTCTAATTCTTAAAAATGTGCAAATAGGGCATACCTGGTGGCACAAGGGGTTAAGCACCATACTATGAAGCAATCTGCAGCCTCTGTAGCATGAGTTTGATCCCCGGCCAGCCAGGGAGCAACGCACATGGTGCAGCAGACCTCTCCTGACTCGCCCGCTGCTCCCCTCAGCAGTGTATTTCAGTCAGTCTGCCTGTTCTGCTCCCCACTCTGTCTCTGGTGAATCCTCTCACCCCCCCGCACCTCTGGCCTATACCCCAGCTCTTGTATGCATAAATAAATAAATCTTTTTAAAAATGTGCAAATAAAAAGTCAGTTCATATTTTTAAGAGACTTCACTAATAATCTTCTTAAGGACCATTCAACTTCCTCTCCCAAACTGTCCCAAAGTAAATGCCCCATATCTGTGTGTGTGTGTGTGTGTGTGTGTTTTCTTTGATCTCATTTCCAAGTTGCCTGGACCGAGCTAGTAATTGCCACGTGGGTTTGCATTTGGCCTAAACACACAAGATTCTCTCACCTGTCTGGTATTTATCTGGAAGTTCTGGCACAACTCAATCCTGGCTGAGCATTTCTCTCCCTCTCTCTAATGTGTCTTCATAACTACTAATGGGATGGACCTCCTCATAGCATCAAGCAGGATCATCAACTTCTTACATGGAGTCCAGCTCTCCTCAGAATGACCATTCCATGAGATCCATCTGAAAAAATACAAGACTTCTTATGACCAAGTCTCACAAGTTAGGGAGTCATGATGTACCTTTTCCGCAAAAGTGATCAGAAACGAATGGCAGATCATCCCAAATTCGAGGGACAGGGATACTCAATGACACACAATCATACGCTTCACAGTACAGGGGAGCACATATGCACACCAACACCATATTCACCTTTAAATTGAACTGGAAGTCTAAATCATGTGAATTCTTTCTTTGTTGAAATAAAGCATTTGCATGAGGAAATAAATATCCCAGAGTGAGCTCAATACTAGACATTGAAGAAATTACACGTCAAGAAGGAAGAGAATAGTTCTCCCTTAGAGAAAGGAGAGGGAAATATTATTAAGAATGACAACATAGGAAGTGGGCTTGGAAAAAAGACAGATATATTCATAAACAGAAGTAGCAGCATAAACCCATAAGCATCCAGACTCAACTGCAGTGTATGTGTGTCTAAAATAGGCTGGTGAAGCAGACTGAGATGAGGTCATGAAAGATACTACTGTCTATCAGAAGAGGGAACAGGGAATTCACCTTGTGGGTCTCTTTTTCCCAAAAAGAGCTTCTCCAGGACAAGACGTCCCACCAAGAACCCTTGAAAGAGGATCTAATGCATACAGGGTCTGGCAAATGACACATGCTTTTTTTGTATAGTTCTCAGAGTAGGACCCAGTGAAACGTAGACTACTAAATGCCCTACATAGTCTTGCAATAAAGAAATCCACTTGAGTCCAAGAAACCTTCCAACATATTTAAATAGAGATTTTTTTTTTTTTTAACAGAGCAGTCACAAATCATCCTACAATCCTTGATTTCACGAAATACCCTTGGGGAGTCTTTTATGGCTCAAAAGCCAGTAATAGAGATGCTAAGATTTGTGCTATAGGGAAAAACTAAGGTAATGTCTTGAATGACTTTAAAAGGAAAAATATGGGAATGGAGGAGACTAGTTAGAAGAAAATATTGAGTTTTGAACTAAAAAAGTCACACAGGGGATGGGGATGAGAACAATGAGCAAAGAGTCTTTAACAAATCTGCGTGAGGTCTTGGGTAGAAATTCAAGCACTGCAGTCCCCATGATGAGTTACTCTCATTCTTCCTGGTGGACATATTATCCAGCGATGTAGCTGTATCATTTTGTATTGACTTGAAGTGAAGGATTAAAATGTAATTTAAAATATATATATAATAAGTCACATACAGCTGTCTACACTACACTGAACTTACTGTTAAACCACACCAAAGGGCTGGGGAAATGAATTATCTAGTTCCTCTTGGTGAATAAAGTAAAGCATAGCTATTACTTTTTTTTAAAGCCACATTTTCTTCAGTTGTTAAATTCTAACACATGTATCCTATAGGACTTTTCTCATGAAGCACTGAGCTGTAGAATAAAAAGTGTTTTAAAGAATCATTTTGCAAAAGATGGAAGAATTCAGACTTTTTCCTATATGCTTACTTACAATATATGCTAACATGTTAATCTATAGAGATTTCACATTATGTTTTCTAGGAGCTGGGTTACATGATCTCTTCTATAGAGGAAAGGGTGGCAGTTTCTATGTTTAGAAATTGCAAAAGCAAATTTGAAACAAGTCAAGAGCAGCATATATCTAGGGGCTTATCCCCCCAAAACCCTGCTGGTTCAATTTTAGTCACCATGGGCAATTATTTGCAGATGCACGTAGAGTTTACTAAGCTCCTGTGCTGTTCATTTGCATGCCTGGCATCATGCTACAGGCTCAACACCTGTGGACATTTGCACAAACTTCTTTTACAGCCAAATTTTGGGAGGGAAGAGGAATATATTCAGAGGAGAGGAAACTCAGTGACAGGAGGTGGGAGGAGGTTGTCTGATCCCTCCATTTCTCTGACTCAAAGCTGTTTATTTAGGTCTCAGCAAAACTTTGCCTCCAACAGCCAAATTCATTACATAATTTGAATTATGGTATCTACTTATGTTTGCAAAGGAATCACATATTTCAAACTTTTTCACTGCTAAGATAAAAGCAGTGGTAAATTCATGGACATGTATTAGAATTTCAAAATATAGCAATGGTAATATATACCCACAGTCAAGTTTTAAATTTCACTGTTACCATACCTTAGATTTCAACAGAAATTACTGCAATCTTTGTATACAGATATAAAGAGTTTAAAAAGACACCCATAGCAAAATGAGATTTTAGGACTAATCGTGCCAAACTCTCTATGCTTGTACTCATTGCCTATAGCATTGAGAGCAATGGCAAAGCATCCTCAAAGAAAAATACATGAATAACTGACCATTTAGATTGTTATTTTAAAAAGACTATTTAAATGTCATGGGGGGGGAAAGTTCATAATCAAGTGGGAAAAAAATACAAGAACAACCAAAACATGAGTAGAGAGATTAACTGAAATATTGCATACTAAATATTAGTGATAATGATTTCAAAATAAAAAGGAATTGTACAAGATTCTAAGTTTTATCTTTTTTGTTCATTCAAAGTTTTAAAAAAGCACATGCATATTATTCCTCAAAATAAATACAAAGCTCTTAGAAGGATAAATATTAAAGTAGCTTTGAAATATTATTTAAAAAGTTTTCTGGAAAAACTAAGCTACGGGAGTGAAAAACAACAAATTACAATTCCTTAACACGAATATTCAATAGCATAAGTAAAGCTCACATTTAATTGGAAAATTATTATCAGTCCTTTATCTCAGCTTCCATAGCCCAACTTGGCTTAAGCCCACCTATTCAATGGATGTCGATTTTCCCTTATCCAACTTGTTTTGCATATTTTATGGAATTTCACATCTCTGCCCCAAAGCTACCAATGACTCCCTCTCACCACAGGGGATCAAAATCCTGCTCCTGGATTTCAATGTTTCTAGCTATCCAAAGGCTATTCCCCACAACTAGCATCCTGCTTCAGGGAGTACCCTCACTGGCTTTGGAACATACACCACGTGAACCTCTTTTGCCTTGATCTCATCTCGAAGGTCAGGCTGTCCTTTAAGAATCGTTTTAAGATGTACCTCTTCTAAACAACTTCACCTTCTTCCCCCCAGCTCATCACTGACTTCCCAACTTGCTCATCAGTCCCACCGCACACTGCTCAACATCTACTTAGGTGCTTGCCTCTGTGCCCAACTGTTTCCTATATATCATGTTTGCCTCATGTGATCAGAATTTGCTTTAAAAAATCCAAGAATAGTCTATCTTTTTCTATACTTTGTGCAATATCTTTTACAGTATTAGGTATACAGTATGTATTCTATCAACCTTTCTTTTTCTTTTTAATTAATTAATTATTTATGCAAGCACTGGCTACAGTCAGAAGCACGGGAGGGTGAGAGAATTCACCATAGCCAGAGCGAGGAGCAGAACAGGCAGACTGACGAAATACACTGCTGAGGGGAGCAACGGGGGGCAGGAGAGGTCTGTGCGCCATGTGGGACCCTTGCCGGCGGCCGGGGATCGAACTGGAGATGCAGAGGCTGAGGGCAGCCTCGCAGCCCAGCGCTCAACCGCTGCGCCACCAGGGGAGGCCCTCCATCAACCTTTCTTGATAGATTAATAGATAGATCTAAGATTGACCATTTATTTTACTGTCAGCAAAAAAACTTATGTTTTCAGATGACTTGTTTGCTCTGCCCACTTCTGTCAATGCTAAAAAACCAACACTGTCTGAGAAAAGATGCTAATATATGTGTTTGATAACCATAAAACGTCATTCTGGGAGGAAGAATTAGAAACAGATTGGAAGAGCTGTTATAGTCTCACACTGCTTCTATTACCATCTTTTAAACTATAAAACCATAATGGTCTTAAAAGGAGATATTCTAGAATAGAAATAATATAGTAAACTTCACTAAGGATCTTACCGATGAATGATAAAAACAGAGTAAAATAAAGTAACAAAAATGATAAGGAATGTGAAACTTTTTCCAAACCATAGCAGACTTAAAATACATACATTGGGCCTCCCTGGTAGCGCAACGGGTTGAGCGCAGCGCTGTGAAGCTGTCCTCAGCCTCTGCAGCACGGGTTCGATTCCCCGCCAGCCAGCGAGATACCCACATGGCACGGCAGACCTCACCTGTCTTGCCCACTGGTCCCCACAGCAGTGCTTTTGGTCCGTCTGCCTGTTCTGTTCCCCACTCTGTCACTGGTGAATTCTCTCACCCTCCCACACATCTGTACCCCAACTCTTATATGCATAAATAAACTAACCTTTAAAAGATATATATATTGAGGCTACTGAAATTATACCAGGGTACTTTCAATTTTTGCATTTTAACCAAAACGTGATCCTCAGGAAAGCCTGATTTAATAAATGGAAAGCCAGTGTCTTATGTCTTCTGGTGGAGAAGCAGAATGGGGATAAATCAGTTGGAGACAGAAAAGAAATGGTTCTGACATCAAATAGCTACTAGGTGTGACCACTCATTCTGGTTTAAGTGTCGTGTCACCAGATCCACACCATGCCAGGACTGCAGACACTGTGCTCACGGCTCTGAGGCAGAATGTGAAAACCATAATCAGTGGTTGTCAGACCACACAAGGCTGGAGTCACTGAGTTAAGTGCATAGAGGGGTGTATTTTACCCAGAACCACCACATGGTCAAGGCACTGGTCAGGAATCTCGGGGGAATAAATGTTCTCCTGGGGGGCTCCTGTGTGGCTAAGTTCCATTTGCTATGGCAAGAACTTGTCAAAATAGTCTTAGTATCCGAGTGAACCTAAAATCTGAGAGTTTTATATGTGGAATATAAAAAATAAGGGGGGGGAAGTCAAACTCATAGAAAGAGAAACACATTGGTGGTTAACAGAGGCTGGAAGGAGGGACTGGAGGAAATGGGTGGAGGTAATCAAGGTACAAACTCTCTGTTCTATTTTGGGGTTGTAAAATATGACACGATGACTACAGTTATCCATAGTGTATCGCGTATTTGAAAGGTGTTGAGAATGTAGATCTTAAAATTTGCCATCA